TCGTTGAAACTTAACCGTTTCAGGGTCTGGCGGCGAGTGGTGGCCGAAGAGACAACGCCAATTATAGATATTATAAGAATAAGACATTATAATATCTATGACAACGCCAGGGCAAAGATTACCGAGAGTCGAGGATCGCTGGCCTGTGATGCGATCAGCAGACTCTCGCCTTTTCGCCCCGCGGTAATGCCACATCGGCCGCTTCACTCGTCCACACCGATTCCGCAGCCCAAAATCTCACTTCGCTCGCTCCTGGTCTTGGTCTTTGCCGTCCGTCGGCCGAGTCGTCACACCGTCGACCGTCGACGCGCACGACATCACGCACTAGCCGCCGTCCGTCGCCATCAACCGTGGTCGCTCCCGTGGCCGTCTCGGTCGGGCCTCTCCGGCTTGGAAAGGTCGTCAAGCGTCAGAGCAAACGCACCAGCGACACTCGTCAACCCGCGGGACAGGTCGAAGAAAGTGCAGAGGTGACCAGTGGCCAGCACCACTACATTTCCACACCAATCGCCATCTCGCATCCTTCCACCCTTGTTTATTGTGTCTATCCTATCCGTCGTATTTTTTTTTTTTAATTTAAGTTATTCCAAATTGTTATTTGTTCACAGATGAAAATTTAAATTTTTTTTTCTTATTTTCAGCCCTTTTATTATAATAAACATATTTTGATGTGAACAAAAAAATATTGTTTCTTTTTTTTCGTTTTGTCGAGTGTATAATCAATTGTTACAGATTTAGCGACCAAAAAATTCGTTAAAATATATATTTTAAATAAAAAAACTTGTTAGTTGATTAGGTATACAGAGTATAATGACTGTAGACCTGCAGTATAAACGCTACACGGCTATTATAATATGTTCCAAGAAATATTTAAACCATCAAACACTAAAGGTGACGAATGACTCCGGACTAAATCATAAAATAACGCATTACACCGGCGGATACGACGTGGACGGTTATACGAGAATTGTAAATCATAATATATTAATATGTATTGTGTAGAACGTGTCAACGTTAATATAGTCAAATAGTTGATACAAAATAATATTTAAAAAAATTCAAAATTGTTTTTTGCATAGGTAAAATAATAATATAACATTAATATAATACTAGCCGTGCACTCCATTGCTCGTTAAATGTAACAACTCTATATGACTCAAATTTTGTTCAATTCGATATTTAATATTCCGTGTATCGTGTATGGTGTTCAAAATTTATCTTAACTTTTCCGTTGCCCAGAATAAAATTCTGATTTGCAGCAGTATATTATTAGGTAGGCAATCTACCTGTGGTAGATTGCTGACCCAGCACAGGGTATAACTTTGATACTTTAGAGTTATACCAAGTTTGTCATAGGTATTCCACCTATGGTGGATTAATATAATCAATTAATACAAAATCCTAACCTATCGGCTATCATAACTGTACATATCAATTATCATATGAATAAAAAAAAACCAAATTTAACCATTTTTAAATTAGCCTGTCTTCTTCCCAGAGGTCTAATATACACACAAAAATTAATTTATATACATATATAAATTGACAAAAATAATAATACAGATGCCCGATTAACCAATAGCAAACAATATTGTATTTTTTACATCTAGATTTCCTACTTTTCTTTTGGCAATTACGTATATCTTAAAAAAAATTGAGCCAAATCGGACCATCCGTTCTTGATTTATGAGGTATAACGACATTTTCATGCTCCATTTATATATATATAGATAATAGCTGCATGTCGAAAAATAATATTGTTTGAAAACATTTAGGTTTGAACCATTACACCCCCATGTATACATGCATGTACCGATACCATATTTTCTACATAATTATTGACTTGAGTTGTCCGAACAAAAATTGATACTTCTGTTTTTTAATAGGAAATCACTTTTTGACGGTATGGGAGTTTTGACAGTAGTTGTACAATAATATATTAACTATAGGCATAACCACACATTAGATTTTGCACTAAAATAAGTACATCATTATACATACTACATATTACATGGGGGATTACTCACCACCCAAATATGACTTATAATTCATTAAATATTACATTCCTAAAACCAATCACAAAATATATATTGAACCAATAATCAGCAACTGTCACAGTTAGTTTACAAATCAGTCCACTTTTGCAGATATTTGCTTTACATTTTAACATTTAAATTACAAGCCTATGAGTTATGACTAAGTAGCATATATATTTATAGTTGAGTTATTAGTTCAATTCTTTATATGGAACTCTATGGCTTTATAGAAAGCTCAATAACTCTTCACAAATTAAGTTTTAAAAAAAATGCTAATAAGAGCTTCATAATTTTAATAAAATAAAACAGAACAAAAAACTATTCAAAATTGAAAAAGATGGCAAAAATTAATTTTCAATTTAAATTTATAATTACAAAAATGTACCTCTATAGTTTACCCTTATAGTTTATAAATGATACATAGTATGGATACTGTATAGTTGATGTATAACTTATTTATATATATTTATAAAAAAAACTAATAATTAGGTAATATAAAGTATTAGAATAATATAGGTATTAAAACAGTTCATATCATAATTAGAATTGTTCTAAATCGCTTTCATGTTTTGATAAGCAAGGTATTAGCAAGGTATTATCATCTATCTTTCTTTTTAGTTTTTGGACCAAATTTTAAGTACATTCTCACTAGTAAGTAGTGACACAAGAACAGAAAATCTAGTTTCAACATTCAAGGTACAAATAAAAAACAGGGAATAAAATCACTAAATTCAACAATCAACATTGATCAACATAAAATAAAATTCAAAATCGTTAAACTGATAATTTAAATAATATAGATATTAGATAGGTATATATTATAATAAATTTAAAATATGCACAATACTCAAGAATATATATAATAGTTTTGGCTTTTTGGCAGTATATTGGTAAGTTATTAAAAGTCTAAAAACGAAACAAATTATTCATGTAAAAGTATAAAAATAATAATACAAAACATCGATACATTTATATTTTATTGAAATACATTTATTATAATATCAGATTTGGAAAAAAATATATTAATTTTACTTTGATATCATTAAATAGATTTGCCTATTATTTAAAAATCATCTAACCCTTGATTAAAAAACAAAAACCACCCTCATGCACATTAAGATCTTGTAACTTCTATGCATCGAAAGTTTAGGGTAAAATTTTGACAGTTCCTCTATTTTTTATAAAATTAAAACTTTGAATAGCTATAATTAACTCTTGTTCAAAAATTAAATTTTATAAACTATTTTAAAACATATTTCAGTATTCCACGTTTGGTGACTGAATTCAAATTTTTAAAAAAATTTTGAATTAATCGGAACAGTGATTATTTGTTAAAAATCTTTTAATGAAAATCTATTTTTTTTTATATTTCGTGTGAATAGGTCTGAAGAAAGATTTTATTTTTTATTTTAGATTTATTCATCCATCATACAAATAACTGTTTGTATAATGTAATATTAAATATTACAAATTATAGTTTCATAATGCATTTAAACAAACATTAAATATAATATAACATATATACATAAAAAAACAAACATTTAATTACATTTTTTAATTTCATTTTATTCATAAAATATACAATATTTTCATGATACTTAATATTTCCCCAAGTTAAAAAAATATAATAAAACTGTATTAGTGGTTTATAATATTGTACAAATAAGCTACTATATCTGGATGTGCTTGATAAACACTTAGAACAGAAACATAATTAATACAGTTATATTAATTGGTCAAGACATTATATTGATAGGTATATACATGTGTATATAAATCAGTTATAATTTTAATGTTTAAATAGGTAATAATTTGAAGTATGAAAATAAATATTTTGTACTAATTTAATTTTTAAGAAAATAAATTAAGAATACATAACAAAGGTAATAAATGTTTTGCTGGGAGAGGGGAAATAAGATTTTGATTAAATCAAATGGACTAATAATTTTTAATGTACATGATGATACCGAAAATAATATATAAATACGTGTTTAATTTTCAATAATAACCAAACATGTATTTAAAAAAAACAAATGAAAATAAAAATAATGAATATTATAATAGTCATAAGACGCAGGAACAGAATTCAAGTAGATTAAACTGGTAAGTTTTTTTTTTAAGTCCATACATGATGACAACTGTGAAAAACAAGAGCCATGAAAAATTCTGTTTGTCTCCAATATATTTTTATTTCAACAGTTCAATATATTATTATAATATTATGTAGTCTACATTTTAGTTTTATATAAGAAAATAGTATTTATTATTTTACAATAAGAAAATGAATAGTTAAATGGTAACATCTAAAAAAATAATGCTTTTCATGTAAAAGGTACAAGGCACATTTATTTCTCTTAAAATCTAACAAAATTTAATTTATATGAAAAAAATTGCCAAAAACATTAGTATTAAATTACAATCTTTTAGTATTCGCTATTCTATTTGATTTCCTTAACCAATTTTGATCAACAGTCAATTTTATATATCCTGACTAGATCACGAAAAAAAAAATTACAAAAACCTAGTTTATATTAAATCGGAGGAGGAACTATCTGTAAAAACGGGTTTAAAGGAGAAAAGGTAAATTTTCAAAATATTAATTCATGGAATGTGGATGTCATTAAGCTCTAGTTTCCCTTACGTGTTGAAAATAGCATCGTACCCTTAGCAAAAAGAGCTGTCGTTAAGGACGCTGAACTAATATCACAATGGTATCCTTTGTTTTTACAAAAATTAAAATTAAAAAAAAAAAAAAAAACAATAATTTAGTTTGCTTAAAGATCTCGTATAGACAATAGTATTGTACAAACAAGATCGACAAACTCGAAACTTAAACGCACATGTTTAACACAATTTGGTTTGAGTCACAAATTCAATAAAATTAGTCTTTATAACTAGTGTTTAGTTGGAGAATTTGAGAATTACATTGCAGTCATCTCAGATTCCATTTTCGGTCACCCTGTGTCATCTGCAGGGATCTAGCAGAACTTCGATCCAAGTCGGACAGGACGTGATCTCCTGCCGGGAATACTTGGGCCCCCATCCTTTGGCGAAACTGATGCGTACGGCGTTCGGGTCGACGGGTCCCACTCGCACGCCGTTTGAATAGCGTATTCGATCGCCGTGCGGGTTGCCAGTGAATATGTTCAGACAGTGGCCGGAAGGTACGCGAAAAACCAGATAAGACTTGCTGTCCGGATCGTCCAGCGTCGGCGAATTCACGAACATCGGCCAGTCACTCAGGTTGTACGCCCACACGCCGTCTTCTTCTCGGCTCAGAGCTAGACCTGAACACAAACATACAACCATTAGTATCAAAATATATGCGTTAGATCAAAATGTACAGGTATTTTTCAGGGAAATTAGAGAGAAAATCACTAAAACTAATTATACAGCCTGTATACAGACGAAAAACATACCTTGTCCGATTTTGGTCCTGTTCCTGAGTACAGACTCCGGAGGGCCCTGCCCGGGTGAAAAATGATGTTGAGTGAGGGCGGCTAGAGACAGACCCGTGCCAAGTGGAACATTCCAGAACACGTTCACAGATTTTGTTTCTACGGGAAACAACCTGCCTACTCGTTGCGAGAGTTCCCAATACGCCACTTTACACCATTCTTGTTCGTTTTGTTTTTCTATAAACATACAAAAGTCATATCATTAGTAAACAAGTCCTGAAGTCCACGTTATATTTCGTAACATGTCATTATCATCGTTAAGCTGTGACCACGGTTATCTAGCAGATAATCGTGGACCGTAGTTGTGACTTGTAACAATTTTTAAAATATTATTTGTATGGTAAATTGGGAAATACATTAATGTAAAGTAAAGTAATATATCAAGTGTCGTTTTGATCAGCCCATATAGTTGGAAAAAAAAACAGATTTCTTCACTCGCAAGATAATTTCCAGTTACATTTTACCTCAACACGCAATTACCATCGTATATAATTGCAGTATTTGTATTATCATAAGAACAGAATAAATAAACAACTTTTTTGAGATAAAAACGAGTAGGGTATAATGAAATATATAATAGTAAGTACATAATATCAGTGGTGTCATTTTAGATTTATCTAGGAGGGCTACATAAATAAAATTACTATACTGAACGCGACTGCTATATAAAGTAACTGACCAATTGAAAAATATTAAATAATATCACAGATAAACCTTTTAAAAGTGGTTGTTTGGTGTTTAGAATTTTATTGAGGCAATTTTTACCTAGGTACCTACTAGAATAATGGAATAATAAAAAAAGTAGTTTCAGAAATAAAACTATACAGTATTATGATATTATTCTTGTTGTACATGTAGTACATCCCGGCGTACAATGTGACACACCACTTAGTACTTATAGGTACACATCTTACATACACGCCCACAGTTCTATAAATATTCCAACTATTAAAAAAAGTCATAGCAACAATAAATTCCCAGTACACAGAATTCCTGTGTACAGTTACACAAAATATTATAAAAATAGCAGAATATTTTATCAGCAAAAACCAGCACATCGGGCATCTGCTAAAATCAGACAGGGCCAGCACTCCAAAGGTTGAAGCCACTAAACGCGAAGATTTGGATAAAAGGATAAAACGGTAATATACGTATGAGACGACGTGATGACGAGACGGTATCATTAAAAAAATCGTCCTGCAGTCATTTTCTCCCTTCTTTGTACTATCCGCGGCGCATTCCGGCGGAGTGTTTATAAGTGATGACGACGGTGTCGTGGGGACGGAGGGATGGCGACGACGGCGGCTGCGTTAAAGCAAAAATATAGATCCTATATTATTATATCAAACCCGGCGAACCGAAAAAGGGCGAAAAGACCTCAGGGGAGCTACGGTGGTGTTGCGAGTTTACGAAGAGTATATGTGTATGATCGCGCGGCGCCTGGTACGAACCGGGTGTACACACGAACGACCAAGACCACCACCACCACCAGATGTGATTTATCCGCGCGAGAGAGGAGCAGGTTCCGTCGTCGTTACACCCGAAATGAGTTCACCGCTCGAGAAAAAAATAAAACCCGTGTACTGTGTACAACACATACAAAATAAATAAGGGTTTCTCATAATATATTATACAGTCAGATCAATTGCAAGGTGACGACCGAGTGCGGCGGACCCGCCGAAATTCACAACGGACACGTTTTCCTTTCTTTCCCATTCAACAAAAAAAATAAATATTCGAACGTATATTATCACCGCAGCACCACTGTCGGAGCGTACATTATTATATTATTTACCTATAACACACAAATACACGTGCGCACACGCACGCGCAAGCGACGTATAAACTGGTTTATACAAATGCAACCGAACAAATGAGACGCACGGCGGAACGTGCGTTTGTCGATCGACGATGATAGAGCGAGAGGGATTCAGATTTTTAGAGGTACACCAGACAACGCGCAGCGGTACCAAACGACCGCGACGATCCCTATTCCCGTCGTAGCACTCCATACACGACCTACCTACATATAGCATTATTATAATAATTACAATAATAATAGTACTATGCAGCGTATTGCAATCCGTGTATATCGCGTATTGTATATATATACATAATAAATAACAGACCGTGATCCACTGATCCGTACACGTCGGACTTTCTAAACACAATATAATAATAATAATATAATGATGACGATAAAACTAATAACCGAACGCACACGCGGTTTGTTTTTGGGTGCACGCGGCATTTCTGGCATTCCGGGCGGCCGTCAGTGGCGGCTGATGGGGCGCCGCCCACCACTCGCATTCCACCGAGAGACGACGAAGACACGTCCGACGTCGTCCTTCTTCCATATAAACCTTTATTTATTTATTATTTATTTATTTTTTTTTAAGGATACTCCGCCGTCACCGCCTAACCGTATACACACACACACACACTCTGTAGGTAGTAATAATAATGGTTTGGCGGCGGCGGCGGGTCCCTATTAGTCTTCTCAGAGAACAAACGGCAATCGTCGCTGCTCCCGTGTTTGTTTTTCTCTCACTCATTCTCTCTCTCTCTCCCTATACCGATCGCTCGTTTCTTGATTTCTCTACAAACATATTATATACCTACCCACCGCCGGCAGAAGAGCTCATTGTTGTAGTTCGGTTAAGACGTGTAGGTACATAAAACAAACACTCCAATCCTTCTGAGAGTAAAAACAATATACTTTACGAGTGTATAATATTATATAATACGAGTCTTCATTATAAAAACGATTTAAAAATAACGTTTGAATTGTTGTTGTTAATAAAAAAAATAAAATACTTGGCGCTCACCGATTCTAACCCATGTTATATGTAAACCTGTTTGTTTAATTTATTATCACATCCTTATCACTAACTAATCAACGCGCGTTATAAATTATAATCAATTACACTCCTTCAGGTTTAATTGAATACCGCCAAGCGACCGAATGGAGAGAAGATTACCTGTTAGAATGCGGTATTTCAACGGTTTTCGTTGAATACCTCTTCTTTATATCGAAAACGGAAATGACAGAATGTCAAGAAAAATAAAATATCATAAATCCCACCTGAATTGTCTGTCGTCTAACACGGGTTTTCTATATGCAATAAAAACGTTTGAGGCCCACGAGGGGTTTAGCGTCCATGTTAGTAGTTCAGGTAATTGGGATTTTGCCTTTTCACCCCGCACAAGAGCGACGAGACTGTTCGTGAAGGAAAATATGTGACCCACTACAATACAATTTTTTTTCCCCGTTCACGCCGTTTCTCGGTAGATTATATTATTATACTCGATATACCGAAATACATCACACACGCAGCGTCTCTGAATAGAATGTAAAGACTATATAGACTACCACTATATTATATACATTACACTGACGCATTCAGCTCTCAGCCCGCCCTGCCGTCGACAAAAATATAAATAGTATTATCGGTTAAAGAATTTTCGATCCCCCAATCTGACCCTCCGCAGTATTTAACGCAGAGGTTAAGCGGAGTGCACTATAAATTTAATAAAAATAATTTGCAATATCGTGAAAACTACGGATTGCAAAAAAAAAACAAAGGGAGACAAACTCGAGTATCACTGCAGTAGTGCGATATAGTAGTCCCGGGATACACGACGACGATAATTATTGTTATAATAATAATATTATTATCATCTCGTCATTGTAATATTATACAGACGACAATAATATATTATTAATATGCTAATGAACCGAGAGCAACGGCGGCGGCCGACGAGCACTCTCGTCGTCTCTCCCGCAACCCACTCCGACGCGCACACGTCGAGACGACCGGTTTTTCGTTATTTGTATTAACACACACACACACGGTGCACGCCACATATATTTTTTCATTATTATTATTATTATTATAAAGCACAACAGCCGCCGCGCGTACATATATATATATTATGTTATTAAACGAATTCCGCGCGTCTCTCTGATGTTCTTGGTCGCACACACACACAGGCAGTATAATATAAACTGGCCGCCGCCTCAGGTTTGTGTGTGTGTGTGTGTACTCTTTATAAAGTCGGCGGCGAAAGCATTGTAATTTTCGTAATTGGCGCCCGCGGGCGTATTGTCGCGAAAACACACGGATCGCGGCGATCAAGCATGGGCGTGCCGTCAAGAGGGAAGGCTCGCGGGGGATCCGATTAAAATATATATACGCGTTGCGGCTGCCGGCCGCGTGTGTGTGTGTCGGAGGCGGTGTTTTTCATAGACACAAACGAAAATCGAGTGCGTGTGGGAAAAAACCGACGGCCGAAAAAATATTAGAGGGAAACGAGAAATTGACGAGTGCTTTACTAGTTATTATAATAATATACATTATATTGTAAGTCATCTCTCTCGCTCCGTGTTCTGCGTTATTACTATTATTATTATACGCCGTAGTCGTAATAACCGGTCTCGGGCGCCGCCGATCGACGGTAAAAATGTAATAATAACGATTTTGGAGAAAAAAAAAACAGAAAACTCAATTGTGAGTCGGACGAGACTTGCTGTGGCCGAAAAATCTGACCACTCCACCTGTACACAATATCATATTATTATAGTTTACATCGTTTTATGACCGCACTGGAAACGAACCAGATTTTTGTTTCTTGTATTTATAAACACTGTCAACGGATGCGGTGCCTATCGTGACGAAGGGACGACGACAAGCGGCGATCAAAGATCGTTCGTGACGACGTCGTGTCTTCGGGAATCGAAGACCATAATATTATTATTATTATTATTAGATAATATATTGGGTTGCCGACGACGAGCGAGAGCCGAGTTTCGGGCAGCCGCCGAGCCGAGACGGACTACGTCGGCAACCAACCGGTTCTTCGTATCGGTTGGTCAGGCACGCAGTGGGGGCCCCCGTGATGAATGGCCCCGGCGCGGCGGCGTGCATGGTCGCCGGCAACCCGGTCGGGTCGGGGCGCCACACAACCCGTCATTAGCATCAACGGTACACACAGACCACCCCACTCCCGACCAGACGATGACGATACAAGCGCGCGCACAATACAAACATAATAATGTGTTTTTTCAATTATTATTCCGTCGGAGAGCCCTACAGAGATTCTCTGGACAAAAACGGGTTTCGGGATTCTGAATTTTGTCACACAAATCACAACGGGGATTGTGCGTTCTTTCCGATATTGGCGTTTATATACATCTCGGACAACTGAGATCGGAAGCCGATCAAAAGACGTCCCCGACGTGTGCGTTTCTGTTAATTATTGTTGTTGCGGTGTCTATTTATCCGATTTCGTGTTTTTCTGTTTTCACGACGAATCAACAGCGTCGACGTGACGTCACGGGCGCCAGCGATATGGCCCTCGGCCCGTCGCTTGTAATGGTTATTTTTATCGGTCTTCGAGTGGCGAGGAGTGGTGTGGGTGGTGCAGTGCGGTGGTGGAGTGTGTGCAGCAAGTGAGTGTGTGTGTGTAGCGTGTGCGGTTCGAAAAAAATAACCAACGTCGCCAGTCTATTTACCCCCACTCGGGACCCACCGGTACCGGCAAAACACAACGACAACACACACACACTCAAGTAATAATATTCGTCGTCACCAGCACATATTATTATTATCATCGGGCCGTCGCCATCGCTGGCACCCGGCACCGCCGCCATGCCATTATCATCATCGTCGTAGCCGTCGTCGTCGTCGTTGTCCTCCCTCCGCACCGCTTGGGCCGCCGACGACGCCACGACCTCATCGTAACGATAACGCGGCGGTGGCGGTGCGTGGAGAGCGAGCCGCCGCCGATCATAGATCGCTGCCGCCAACAGCAGGCGCCGCTCATTACCGACGCCGCGACCGCGAAAACGATAAACAACACGCGCGCCAACAAATAACACCACCGCCGCCCCCGTCCCGAGTGTGTATATATTATAATATGATATTACATTGCACGAGCAATAATCGATAATCCGTCGACGAGAGGTATATAATATTATGATAATAAAATTATGATTATTACAAGTGTGCGGGAGGAAAAAATTTATATTTTAATATTTCTATAATATAATATTATTATTATTATTATTTTATATTTTTATGTTTACGACATCGCGACGTCGGCCAGAAACGTTAATATGGAAATAACTAATAATTAAATTTTTTCAAGTACGTCGTCTCGTTTCACCTCCTCCCACCACTCCAGGTTACCACTATACCGCCGACGATAAGTTTTTTTCCATCCGATGAAAAACCCAACGATTTCATTATCACTTATAATCATAATATGACGGGTACTTGTGACTACAACGATGACACAGACTGCGATTGCCCATGCCGCATCGCATCGCGTTCGTGTTCAATATTTTTTTGTTATCCCCCCCCCCGCCAACCAATATATCGGTCCCGATAAAAGTCCCGAGGCTATAATAACACCGTAATAATATTACATATTATTATTATAGGTACACGTGTAATATAATATATATATATATGTAAATATATACAATATACAACAACAACAACACGGCGCGGCGGCAGTGGCGTGCACGCATGCCAGTGGCGGGCGGGCTGTCGGGCTGGAAGGTCTACGGGTAATTATGTCGTTTCCGTGTGGTCGCCACTCGTAATTAACCTTTGCCGGTTTTTTTAAAGTTTGGTCGGGCGCCAGTCGGTCGCGCGGGTGCACCGCAAAATGTCATCTGCCGACCCCGCCACCGTACACACAATGTGTATACGTGTGTCCGTGTGAGTGTGTGTATATTATGTGCACGCGTGTGAGTGTATACGTGTGTTGCACGGGTGTTTGTGTGTGTATAATATAATATATATAATAAATATACGGAGAGAGGAGGCACATATGCCGAGACGCCAGGCGCCCACGACAATCGCTTCACCGCGCCGTTCTCACGTTCCTATTATTTCGGCCGTCCTTCGCACAAAAAAAAAATAATAATAAAAGGAAACCCTAACATCGCCAAAACGTATCCTTTATAATATTGAACAAGTATCGCACAACGTGTGTATTATCCTGCAGTGACCTGCTGCACTATATTATATTGATATAATATATGATATAATATTGAAAACATACAAGTACCTATATAATATTATATATGAAAAAAATGCTCACGAAAATGTACACAGAAATCTAAAATGTATGTATCACTGGACAATGTATACTGCATACTAAGCCACAGGATTCAAACCAAACTGTAAAGAAGAATGATTATAAATTATAATGTATGTGAAAAAAGATAGATTTCACACGATCATTAGCTAGATTAGACTATTTATTCTTCCTGTGAAAACACATTGGCTCAACCGTACGGCGCTGACAACACGACAACGACGCGCATATATTATTATATGCAGTCAATTACAATTACTACGACGGTAGCATTTCCACAAAAGTAATTATTCCGTCACACTATTGTGTACACACAATAATGTAACTATTAGAAAAATATCTAACTACCTACGCGTGAGAGTTAATCTAAAAATCAAATTAATGCTTACCATCACCATCAGTGCTGAACGAACCACGAAGTTCGTCATCATTACTATCCCAACTACATTCGCTGGGTGCACGATCTGAAAAAAAATAACAAAATTATTACTAATTTCATCATGCCCAATCCTCCATTATTATTTTTGTTGACTGTATATAATGTTATATCAATATTTATTGTTTCACGGACTAACGGTGATAATATCAGGTATTATAATATAATGTACTATTACGTAACCGCAAGTAATTTATTTCACATTAGTTGTTTTACCATTAAGCGCTGCCCCTACTGTCATCACCGTTATCATACAAAACGACTTCCCATACAAAAGCTGTTATCGACGATGGCAATATTCTCGTTCAGTGTAAGTAGGTACAATTAAACAAACGATAAACATTGAATGCATTTCGTAGGATGTTATTAACTCGTTAGCTTTTTTTCACTTTCGTCTGGGAAAATTCGAACGTGACTTCGAAAATATGTCTACCGGTATCTCAGGAATGATTTTACCGATGACGGTGTATATAGGTATATTATATAAAAGAAACAAAACAATACGGGAGTACCATACAGAATATTTATATACCTGTATAATATATCATATATATATATAAACGTTCAGGACGAATGATGAAGAAAAAACAATCTGTAACATTTCTATTGTGTGAGAAAAAAATCTACAGACTGGAGGGGGTTGCGGCAATGGCGGTAGCCGCTCCACACGCTCTTGTGATGCTGTTTTATATATTATTCCTGCTGTTCTCGATCAGATGACCACATTCCCGAGGAATGATTCTCCGATTCGCTCTCTCCGCGGGACCCATCGTCGTCTGTCCTTGCATCTCTCCGCACAACACACACACCAGCGCGCTGGTTATTTTTATAGACGCCCAGTTTATAAACGTCATTTTTTTTTTCATTCACCCTTTAGACGTATTCGCCATTCTGTTGACATTCCGTCTGAGCAAATCGAAAATTATTTTTAATCTTTTTTATCTTTACACTCAAGCCAAACTACATCATTAGTCGAGACGACTTAAGACTTTGCGTAATTTTAGATTAATATAGCTCGCGAGTATTGAAATGAAAACAACCAACACCGACGGAGTATTATAACGGTTAGGGCCGCCTCAGAGGTCTAGATAATACGAAATGTTCTAAAAACTATTATAATATTATCGACTATAAAAGATTATAATACAATATACCTACACCAACGATCCAAATTCAGTGTCGGCCTAGTCATAGCTGCGTGGCCATGGCCTACGTTGGTCTAAGGGGGGGGGGGAGATTTAAATATCGTCAAATAATTACCGACTGTCTTTTGTGCTTGTGTGCCTATTTACAGTCGTAGATATGTATAGGAAAATACACCAAATATAATTAGTATTGTTTGGTTGACTATTGCAGACTGCAGTATAAAATAATAAAATAGAATATTGTACCTACCTAATAACTTATAATTTTTAATTCATGTGAATAGGAAAATGTATAATGAAAACTAAAATGTGTACGTTATGTATATTCTGATATTCATATCAATTAAATTTATTTGTTCTGTATAAGTTTATACTTACTACAATTGTTACCACCATTAACACAAACCACTTGCAAACGAGTTTTTTCTATACTTATATGTATTAATAACAAACTTCATTCAACATTACACCAATGTCACCCAAAACCAGTCTTGTAAAGTACTTGAGTATAAGTATTAAAATACTTTTTAAGTACTTATACGCAAATACGTATTTTAAATACTTTTGAACTAAGTAATTATGGACAGTATTTTAAATAATTTATATAAGTATATGTACCTATTTAAAACAAATTACCTACTAATCTTCAATTTTAATTTTTCTATTTTAAATTATATTAACAAGAAAATGCTAAAAAATATGGTTAATTTGATTTATAAGGTAAAAAACATGTTATGTAAAACTGTTGAAACTTGAAAGTATTTGAAAGTATCTATAAATACTTCTTTTAAGTATCTGTATATTTGCACTCGAAAATTTTTTTGCACAGTATCATTTACGTCTTTAAAATACTTTTCAAAATAAATACCTAAACTTGATTAAGCTTTAATCGAGCTTTAATATAGTATATTTTACAAGACTACCTAAAACCATTATATAAACATATTGATGTACTACAAGAACTGATTAAATATTCAAAGAAAAGCAAATGCTTTTTGAAAAAGAATGTTCAAGGGGCCTTTGGTTTCTCATTATTTTAAAATGTACTATCTAGTTTATAGTTTATACTAACAAAATGTTGATAAGCTACGAGAATTTCTGAGAAAAAAATATGTTTACGCGGTTTATTCAACCACTATAATACATTTATAACTTTCTACGGATAAAAAACTGCAATCAAAGTTTATACGACTTTTGTATTTTGTATTTCATATATTATTATTTCCTCCTCGCTGCATTTAATATATCTTTTTTAATAGCCCTAGTTTTCGTCGTTCTTTTGTTTTCACCCTCGCTATAGTCTACATTGGCAATCCGGAAATTCAACGGTACTAGCAAGCTAATCTCCAAGCTTCCACTCGAATGGATTATTATTCACCGGGGTCGTTATATGAGAATGGCCAAGAGGGCGGACCGGAGCAATGCACACGTGTACCTGCTTCGGGCTGCTGTCGCCTGCAGGATTAGGAATTTCCGAGGGGTGAATTCCAGATCGCTTTTCACCCTCCTGCGAAACACCGGAACAGTTTACGACGTTTTCATTCGGGGTAGGCGTCGTTTCAAGCACACGCAACCGGAAGATTACTTTCCAACAGTTTTTGCCTCTCTCATCGAAAAATAATACTCATAATATTTCTACCACAAAAGCAATTTAAACTAGAGCTATAAAAAGGAGAATTCATCCAATAAATAAGATAAGATGTTTGCACAATTTGTGAAATATAGTTGTTGTAGGCATGTGTTTAATTTAGTAGTTTGTTCGGTATAATTAAGAATTATTAAAACTAAACACAGTACTTTCAGGACGAGTTTCAAATATATTATAAAAAATAATCAAAATAATAATTTTTACAGGGAACTGCCAAGGATTCTTAATAACACGGCAAAGCTTTCATATTGAACATAACATTTGTAAATAGAAGGACATAGAAATTACAAAAACTATTTATAAGAAACATAATTTAAATATTTCCTTGGTAATAATAACTAGAAAATTAAGTCGAAGGAGACTTAAAATTGGTTCAATTATTGTAAATTAACTTATTTAAATGCATCCAACAATTTAATATATAATATAGGTATTACAAGGTATGGTAATATGGAAATCATATTTTAAAATTTATTTATGTGTATCATAAAAAAATTCAAATTTAAATTTGCCTAAACGCTGTACCTATATTAATATTATACTACTTTACTTTTTAGTTATTATATGGACCCCACAGCTCTTCGACCGGTTAAATCGGAATGAAATTGAAAGTCATTGACGCTGTAAATTTTTGGCCTTGTGCCACTGAATTTTTACATCAAATAATCAAATAGAATGAAAAAAAGTGTGTACGTGTAACCCATCGAAGTATTTTCAACGCATACATAGCTTTTTATTACGGAAAGGTATAGTCGTGGTGTACACATTAACTATAATAAGTACGAGTTTAGGTGACTAGTACAGTAATACTTCAAAGTTTTGAATTATGTCATGTTTAAAAAATGAACACTTACCTTCAGGTTTCAGTTTTTCCTTCACGAACCTTGAATAGGGCGGCGGAGGTCGTTCTGAAACAATACGAAACGCAACAATATAGTGGTTATATATTTAGCTTTATTATAATATATTTTCTGCTCGGACCTTTCCCGACGAGACCATGCAAACCATGCCGGAAACTTTTACTAATCCACTATAAGTAGAAGTACCTATTGTGCTCACTCACAATAATATTTTTGGCAAGTTAAATGCAAAGCGCGTAGATATAATAAGTGTGTGCATCCGTGCAGTATCCGCCGATAATCGTCAAATGTACCAATAGTAAGTAAAAGTTATTGATTATTAACATTAGGTATTCAGGTGTTATTATTCGTTATGTCTGAAAACCGTCGTCGGTTTATCAATGGTAATTATTATAAAACTGCAGTGGACGACGGAGAACCAAAATAATATAATGTACACACACTGCACATAGGTCCATATTATATTATGTACCACAGGTATATTGTACATGTATATACCTACTACAACTACCGCGACACGTATTGAATATTTATGGGTATCAACAGTGAAAAAACATCACAGATTTTTTTCTTCTTCTTTCTCCGCTCTGTCGGCGTGCTAGAGGACCACACAAGTTTGCATTATCCATTTGTACACGCGGGCGCGCCGGCAGACTATTTATACGCCGCACAGTCACATAGCGCGTTCGGGCGCGCGCACACACACACACACACACACACACCCATAATGGATTTTTTAGAAACTCGCAGTCCGAAGAAGGATGAAGAGGAGGAGGAGGAAGAGGAGGTTTATCGAGAAAAACGATTATTTCGTTATTTTTTTTTCCTGGTTTTCGGCCAACGTAAATACGACCGACGTGTGCCAATACACGAGACGACTACGTGTGGCGCCGACCAGTATTTATAAATAAAAATATAATAATAATAATAAAAGCGACTCCACTCGCCGTTCGGGTTGCGCACGTCGGAGAGCTTTATGGACAATGATCACCGATTTTTAAATAACCAAATTAGTTTTTTATTTATCATTATTATTATTATTATTACATTATTATTTTCGTACCTTTGGCCGAGGGAATGTGATGACGGACGTCACGTACCGCCGACGCCACCACCACCGCCGCCGTCACACCGCAGACCCGGCGGAGAAAGACGTTCGCGGACGAAACGGTGGGCGGAGGGGGGGACGCGCGAGCGGTTGGGCGCCGCGGCGGAACTGGTGGCGCCGTTGGGTTGCGTGACCGGGTCTGCGCGCTATTTATTTCTCATCCGGCCCGACGGCGACGACTACGACGGCGGCGTCGGGCCAGGTGAAGTGTGACGCAATTGGATCGGCGGATAGTATTATATTATTATTATTATTATTACTATTACTATTATAGGTACACCGCGACTATGCGGTTATAATATTATATGCGAAACGGACAGAGCGGCATGGATGTACTTATACGTGTTTATTGACAACATAATATAGGTACGACGACGGTGGCGGTGGCGGAGGACGGGCGAGGGATCGAAATATTATAATTTATAATGTAAGACACGACGGGATGATAAAAAAAACACTTCTTAAACCGCTGCGGTATTCGCGAAACGTTGTTTTTTACGAGAATTATTGGCCGCTGTACAATAAACGAAACCGGCGCCGCTCGGTCGCAATGTTTCGTTTTGTGTTTATCTCTCGCTCTATCACTCTCACTCTTTCTCTCTCCAAGTACATAATAATATGTAGTGTATAATAATATGCATATTGCATATACATACAAAATTATATTATGTAGAAATAGATGTTTATGTACATATGATTACATTAAACTCAACGTGTCAGCCGATCTTATCACTTTCTCTTATCACAGCAAACGCAGCGGCGAGTTCCGAGAATATTAAATTACACTGTGTCGGCGCGCCGCTATGTGATACATCACATAAATGCCGCCGCAACCGTGTGCTTTTGTCTTATCAGCGGCATGCAGATAGGAAATCCTGGAAAAAAGGCGCGACGGACGAAGGTTAAATTTGCAACAATATTACGTTGTGAATAAAAACAACGTTAGTACAATAACAATATACACGACGGACTAGACGGAAATTCTTAGAAAAATATAATGGACAATTGGGGAATGGGAATACAATCCATCTGGCCCGAACGGACAACTGTCAGCCGTTTCGATGAGGAATACAGAAGTTTTAAAAAATAAAAATCGGTCCGATCCGTTCACCCGACCAACTACCGACATAGCGTTTTCAAAGGCGGGGAAATTACGCTGATGTGTTCACCACCGTTTGCAGGTCGGCACACGGCCAGCTCGACGTCAAAGGTTAAGGCATGTTACGTATAATAGATAGTTTAAGCACTTAAGCATATGAGTAAAAGGGGTGCTTACCGATTTCGCATCGTCTGCTCCAGTGGTACGGGTTGCAACACAACATGTCGGGTTGTTTAGCCGTCTGGCAGGAGGGTGTGCTCTTGAGTTGTTCGACAGTCCTGAGGTCTGGCCATCGCCACAGCCGGCAACATATGACCGCCGGGTCGGCGAACAGGAACGGCCGGACGGCCACGCACTCTGCCGCGTCCACGCCACCGGTGTCCACGGCCCGGAGAAGCGTCTCCAGCTGCCTGTCATCCAGCCGCTTGAACAGCGCGTTGCGGAATTGCCGTTCGTCCGACTCGACCGGCGGGGACGGGTGCGCGGACGGTGGTGACGTCGCCGCCGCTGCTACTGGTGGTTGAGCGGCTGCAGCGGACGCCGAGGAGGTCTTTTCCGCACACCTGGTTTCATTGTCTCGGCGCACCCGTGCCTTCCACAAGCGTTTAGCTAATGCCGTCCGCCTCCTCCTGAACATGAACATAAAACACGTGAATGCCGCCTCGCATTTGGTGGCCACTACTTCCGCCGACCCGCCGAACCGAATACTGCGCTGGTCCGCCGGCGGCCGCCGTGACGCGCGCGCGGCGCCGGTGGCACCTTGATATGTGATCGCGGCGTGCGCACCACGTTTTCCGGACGCATCCGTGTCGGGCCGACCGTTGTCGTCCGTGCGGCGTCGTCCAAGACGATACCGCCGCCGCCGTCGTCGTCGTGGTTATAATGCACCACCGCCGGTGACGGCGACAACGACGACAGCTGCGGCCACGGAACTGTACAAGGTGGTCATTTCGCGCAGCAACTACACCAGCAACACAACAATATTGTTATTGTAGTGATCGTGTGACCGATACCGTTACGCACAGCGCCACACACCACGTGTCGTTAACTTTAAACGAAAATTCCGAAAACACGTCGACTGGCGGACGACAGTGATTATTTTAACATATATTATTAAAGTTTTTGTTGTAGATATTTAACACCTGAAATGCGATCGAAAAGCGTCGAACCGGCGATGCGACTAAACCGGTCACAAATAACAATATTATTATGATATTAGAATATATGCACACGACACACGCACTATTTCACCGAATGTGTAAATATGTATTTATATTATAATATAGTATATTTTAATAATAACAACAGCTATGACGATGATGATTATAATAATAATTAACAACAACGATAATAACAATATTAAGATTTTTGTTCCGATCGAATATTATTGCGGCGACAGCGACGAAACGAATTGTCGGCCGATCGGTACGAGACTGACGGGTGAGAGAGCCGAGCCAAACGGCGGCTAGCGCACACACGGCGTTTGCGTGTGTGTGTACGTGCGTGCGTGTGCGCGTGTGTGGATTGGAATGGAACGCGGGCCGGCGAGTCGGAGTATGCGCGTGCGTGTGTTCGTGCGTGCGACGGGTAAAGAAAACGGGAACGGCGACGGCCGCCGACGTCGTCGTGTAACTATGCCGCCAGCCCGGTGGTAACGCCGCACCGCCCCGCCGCTCCGCCCGTCATGTGCAGCCGCCGCACCGACGTCGCGCCGCAGCAACACCGGCTCGCCACAGCCGTCGCCACTCGCCGCTACCCGCCGGCCGCCCGGAGTACCGTGTCTCCACGCACGGGGCGCCACCTACCCCGGCGCCACCGGCGCGCAGTGCGACCACGCGCGCCGAGCCGAATGTCGTGGATTTGTCGCACGTGTGGTCTCTCTCTCACTCGTTCATTCTCTTTGCCCCGCGCGCGTACAAACATATACTTTTATTACACACACACACATATATATATATATAACATTACTATTATTTTTATTATTATTTATTATTATAATATACACGTCGTCGTCGAAGCCACCGTTCTTTGTAAGACGTTCTCTCTCGTTGTTTTCATTGTTTTTTTTTTAAATCATTCGTCAAAAGTACCAAGACTCAAAATTAGGTCTACTAATGAGTAAATCCCTTTAGGATATTATGCCTTACATAATATATACAATATGCAACTACATCGTTTGCAGTAAGCACGACCAATGTGTGCATTTTTTATTTTCAAATTGTCATATTCAAAAATTTCAACAAAATAACGTTACAAAATATTTTTCATTAAAAATTTAGACTATGAAGAAACATACCTAAATGCCGAATTAATGAAATAGGAATGTTGGTTCATAATATAGATTGATTTAATGACATAATATACATCAAGTCCTACGTTGACACGAGTATCGATGAACGATTTCTATTCTGAGTTCTGGCAATCAGACAATGCTGTTTGAAAATCAAATTGCATCTAATGCGATAATTACAAGCTGTTTAGTTCATATTGATATTGTAATCGTCGTGAGAACCCAGTGTTAAAGATAATTATGTAATAATAACAAATATCATAATAGACATTTTTGAATATGGTTTAACTTGTTTTACTTAATTATTTGAGTGTTGGATATTTTAACAATATAATGGGGCGGCTTGTCAATATTTTGGGTGACCGGGCCTTATAGTTACGTGCCTGATTTAGCCATCGGCTATGTAATATACCAAATAATATAAGCAATTGACTCGAAAAGAAATCCTCTGGTAGTTTTTACCTACGCCGACCAATTTTTTATGAAAAATAATTTCTTTACCAGTGCCAATAATTGAGTCCGTGACGCGAATTGCATTTGAATGCCACCACCGCGCGTGCATCCAGGAAATCCACTCCCCCCATTAGACCCGTCCCGCGAATACATAAATGATTTATAGACAAATTAAAACGTATAAATTATTTTTTTTCTTGTATATTCGAATTCGAAATGCATATTAGATATACAATGTTTTGGTGTGCGTTGATAGGCATGTGTTTTTTATTTTTTTATTGTGGACCGTTTTTGTCAGTTGATATAGAGTAATATATGTATAGATGATACAACTGATGCACCTAAAGTTATGAAACAAAAACTAGAAATACCAAAAATGATAAACAATACAGTTATTATTATTTATTGTATCTACGTATGTCAGGTACCAGATTTTACGGTTCTGGTTTTAATTTTTAAAACAATAACAACGATCATAATATTATATTTTACTTCGTCAAGCATTCTTAATCATCTATGTATAAGATTAATATATATCAACGTTAATTCGTAACTTATGAGTTATAATTTATGGTGTATGTGTACTGTTTTGAGTCCTACTTATACTGCATGGTGTATATGGTACATAATGAACTCATGCAGTCTTGAATTAGTTGAATTGATAGTCGACACTTCAGAGCAACATAATATATTGAGAGTAAAAAATAGGTTTTTTCTTGGTCTCGTTTCAAATGCGATAGGTAACTACTTTTCATTGTAAAAAATTGTTCGGTAAAATTACCTCTTGAGTCCTGAGCCAATAGGAAATATCAGGACACTTTAACGGCATTCGGCAATAAACTATTCCCAAAAAATGTATTTAACTTTCTCACACAGTCAAAACCATTTTAAGTATATATCGATATTCACTATAATTTTGTGACGTTTGAATATTCCAGATATTGAATATTCCTATACGCCAATAAATTAAATCATATGCATTTTAAAGAGTGCTTCTTCTAATCATGAATATTTGATTCTTTGACATTTATTCAAAACTCAGTTGGCTGATCCAACTACTAAGTCTCGCGTATGGGTACATTTAAATAATAATAATAATGTATAGATACACAGAAAAACCATTATCGTTTTATAATATTTGTCATTTGATGTTTTAGTATAATAAAAATCTTGTGGAAATGTTAACATAATAACGACTAGCATGTCCGTATATACACAATGATAATAATATATAGGTACGAGTTTAATAATTTCATCGTAGGAAATAATGGCCCGAAACGGTTACTATTTGAACGAACACAATAATGTAAAACCTATACAATATTACAATAATATAATAATATACAAAAATACTACACAACTGTCACACGTGCGCAACAGAAAAAAATAACGTAAAATATTTTTGACTCGAAAATGTTGAATTCTTATGGCATGAATCGTGTTTTTATTTAGATGAGTTTAACACGCAGAATAAAACGGGAAATTAAATAAATTCTTCAATGGTTATGTCATCTTACAATGCGCGGTTTACCAGAATGTTAAAATAATTGTATTATATAATATTATATAAGCACAGATTTACGATGATTAAAACCCAATGACTTTTTATGTTTAATGTTGTTTTGAACTGCACTGTTTTATCGTCAGTAAAAGACTTCTTGCAAATAAAAAGAAAAGAATTACGCGTTTCTGGTGCAGAGATTGTAACGAAGGGCGAAGCCACTGAAGGCGTGCAGCGTGGTAATATTACTTACAACATTTCATTTTTAATCCGAAGGGATAATAATATTATTAAACAGAAGCGGTGGGTAACTTGGTGGATAATTTATTACGCAGGCAGATTTTCCCACCCGGGGTCTTAAAGTATGTCACAATAACAGAGCTATTACAGTAGTTGTGAAATCCAATTATAGTATAATAAAATATAAAGTGTGTATAAATTTGTAATTTTATTTTAATTGTTTATATACTCCGAGTCAATTGTTCTTTAATTACAAAAATACTAGGTATTAATTATTATTGTTATTTAATACTCTCACGCTATACGAAGAAAAGCATATACATTTTTTTTTATAATACCAAACATTTCTTGTCTTTTTTTATGCTATACTTATATTTTTTGTTGTATATTAGTATTTAGGTATAATATGATATTTGAGACTTTTTAGATGCTGAGCTCACAATTTTACAATTTAGGAGGACCTGCAAGACCTCAATTAGGCGGATTGTTGGTAAACGTAATATTCTTAATTATTTTAATGTTTTGTAATACCTACTATAAAATGAAGCAGAAAAAAACTTAGAAATAGTTATCTAGATCGTAGATAGAAGATATATAAATTATAGAGAAATATTATTATTATTAAATATTATATTAGGTATTTTTTATTCAATGACGTATCTATATATAATAATTACAATTTATAAATTGTAATTAGTAACCCCACATTTTCAGTAAATTTAATTCAGAGAACAACTTCTACCCGGTGAATCAAACATTTTACCACCTATTTATTTTAACAACAATGACAATGAATACTTCATGATTGTATAATGATTTTACTCTATATGGGCTATGGCTGTAAAATAGTTTTAATTTATATAATTATTCAGTTATAAGTTATAAGTTATATATTCAGTTACTTTGCTATAGTCATGCTATAATATATCATATGTGTGTACATAGTACATTGTAAATGGGATGTCGGATGTGTACGATGCCACGACGATGTACTATACCTGTAGCAGTATAGCCTCAATTTTATCTTGGAAAGTAACTTCATAATATCACATGGATGATATGGTTAAATCGCAAACATATTTGTCCTAAACCAAAATCCTAAAAAATAAATTAGGTTTTTTGAAAATCATTTGGAGACAAACTAGTTGCATCCCACGAG